CATGCATTGATCTGGTGAAGACTATCCCACGCTTGGGGTATTACGAAGTTATTTATTCACTCCATTCCAGTGAAGAAGATATATTGGAATAATGGTAAACGTATAACCTCGTTCGTCTTGTGTTTACCTGCTACATAATATCGCCATAAACAAGGCCTCGTGGCCGCTGCACGACAGACATTAATGGCGCTAAGGCTTCTTCTCCAGCGTCCGCACGCAGCCCTGCACCCTGGGTTGTTGGTAGAGCTGCACTGCAGGAACTGTAGCTGTTGCAGGGCAACTCTAGCTCCTCTAGGCAACGCTAGCTCCTCTAGGCAACTCTAGCTCCTTTAGGCAACTCTAGCTCCTCTAGGCAACTCTAGCGCCTCTAGGCAACTCTAGCTCCTCTAGGCAACTCTAGCTCCTCTGGGCAACTCTAGCTCCTCTGGGCAACTCTAGCTCCTCTGGGCAACTCTAGCTCTTCTGGGCAACTCTATAGAGATGCTTAGATGAGCTATAGCTCCTCTAAGCGACTCTATAGCTCCTCTAGGCAACTCGAGCTCATCTAGTTGCCTAAATGAGTAGACATTTTGTCATTCTAGCGACAAAGGCGCTGAGTTGCCTTGTAAATCCTTTTATAAAGTATATTTCCGCGTGATGATACGATTTAGTGCACAAATAACGACATTCCAGGCACTTCGTGTATCTGAGTAAATGCTTCGCGTTGATCAACATCAGTTAATTTTGTTCCTTACAGCTATTTTCGCTCGCTAATGGCAAAAACTTTCGGAATTTAGGAGCTTTTAAAAGTATTTGAAATGGACGCCATACATCAGTTCAGCGACACTTAAGACGCTCAAGTGTCCTTGTTCATTCGATAGGCCGTAATGGCTTTGTCTTATGACCTGAGAAGAGACGAAATTCTCCGTTAGAATTCTATATAGTGCGTCATCGATGGTTATAGAATTTCTGAAGCAACTTGGAACGCACGCTGTCTCTAATATATATAGCGCTAATGGCAAAGTTTTATCGTGGAGGTTAAATTTAAATATAGATAATATAATGATTAATAAACTGCATCCTTGTGATGAAATTCGGACACAATAACGAATTAATTCAGCATTTCTTCGCAGAAATGAAAATCAACTGTATTAACGTTCGGGTAACCTGCTCCATGAAAAATAGATAAAAAGCATCCCACAACTCGCAATCGTTTGCTAAGTTACCTGACCTACTGCAACAATCTATTTTGAAAGCATACATTTTCGTCCCGTAGACTTCCTTTAAAGCTCAGGTTCCATACTTACATGGAATATCTTAGAGATTTTTAATGAGAATATTTTTGATGGGCGACGACTACAGTATGTGGTGCCATTAATGTATAGTGACTAATGCTAAGATCTTGTCGAAGCAAAACAATGATTGTGTTCAGGTTTGATGACTGTAAGACTTGACACTGATTGCGTGATTCCGGATGGTTGTTTGAGCTTCAGGCTCGGTACACGCAGTTTCCACTGAATACCATGAATACCCACGAGTAGAATGAATATCATGAATACCCGCGAGTAGAATGAATATCATGAATACCCGCGAGAAGAATGAATATCATGAATATCCACGAGCAGAAGAGCTGCTTATGCATAATCTGATCGCTTCATAGAGCTTTGCAGATCCTGGAATCACTTTCCCTTTACTTATTTCGTGATCGTGCGCACCGATGCGAGGCCATGAGGCCAAGTATTTTGAAATTTATTCAAGATAATTAATCACGCTTCTAATTTTTCACGACTGAACTAAAACGTGGACGAAAGAAAAAGAAATATGTACCCAGAGTTAGTTTATTTATAAAGATATGTGTGATGAGTCCATCTGTGAAATCATTAGCGTTTTTATGAACGATGAACTATAATGAGCAAAAAACATTCTGTAAGGTTATGAGTACTTTGCATGAGAAAACTCGTTTTTAAATTAATAATTTGGCCCGTGAAATATTTTTGCGCCGTATTATAGATCAAGTTTGAGGAAAATTCATGAGTAACGAAGCATTTTCCAAAAAAAAAAAAGAGACAAGAAAGACTCGTGATACGATATTATTTTGGATTACTTGTGGCAAAAGAATTGTTAAAAATATTTGAGACAGGCATACAGATGTCATTCATGACTGAAATCTTATTTATCACGAACGAGGGATAACATTTATGATTGAACTGTTATCTGGTATGTTCATCCTTCATTGCTTTCTTGCAAATTGTCCATTTATATAGAAAAAATTGTATTAATATCACTGTGTAAAATAAAATAAAAATCAAATTTGTGAGACCACCTTGAAGGAATATTACAACGCATGCATCTGATGTCCGACTTTTAATACAAATCTAAAAAACTCATTTCAGGAAGATCTTGCACACCGATTAATTCTCACAATTTTTATTTTTGTTTATTTTCGCCAATGTTCACTTCCACACTGTGTCACGCGTAATTTGAAACAGCGATGCATCATTCAACGCTATATTAGGTCATTCAACTTTCTGCAGTGTAAGTAAGTGTCGCAAAAACTGCCGATTCTCGAACGCTTGCCTTTCAAATGTTAGTATGCAAAGAAGTGTGTTTGTATTGCATGTTTTCCCACCCATTGGGCGCTCATTCCCCTCAACCCCTTGCACCCAGAGACCGCACCTCACGATAGGGGTGGTGCAAGTGAAAGTCGAGGCACAGGACATTCATTGCAGGCTGCTGCTGCCGCCGCTCCTTCGGCACTCTATGCAACCCCCGGCCTAAGCCAGCCCGCACAAAATTCTGGTTTGTTTTGCGGGACTTCGCAGACATCGGTGACAATTTCCCACAAGCGATTCATTTGGTTTTGAGAAATGAATATTGCTTTTAGTTTCCTGTTTGAACATTATCACTGATAACGGATTTTTTTTTCATGACTAATGGCAACTATTTAGAACCAACTAGCAAATATGTGCGTGATATTTAAACTTCTTTCTCTGTTTTTTTTTTTCTAATAGAACTCATTGACAGATTCCCACACTTGGTTGCACTGACGCTAGTCTGCACTCGTAAACTATTGCCATGGGTAGGTTATTCTCGTACAAAAGAAAAATTAACTCAAAAGTCGGCACTAAATCTCATAATCAACTCGCAGTTTTGCATCGAGGTATGGAGGCAATGTCATGCTTGCCCATGGGAAAGCCTTACGACACTTCTTGCCACCTCATGCCCCTTACAACGAAAGATGCATAGCGAGGTCGCAATGTGTTCTCAGCGGCTTTAGAGTAAACAATATGTGTGAAGTCTTGGCCATGGAGTGCAATGAAAGCAAGTCGAGAGTTGCCTCTACGCTGTTGATAGCAGAGCGTTCGCACCACACATCTTTCATTTTAGTTTCTTAGACGTGATGGCTGATTTTGGAGATCTTAAATTATTCAGTTTTATCGTCAAATAACCAGTTTTTATTTTATGTTAAACCGTTCATGTCCGTGTTGTTGTTTGAAGAGACACAGAAAACATTTGATTGTCTGTACCGGTGATCGCAGTGTTTCTGATGTACGTCCTATAAAACAGTACATAATAACATAATATTTGTTGCATAAAAATTTATACTGAAAAAAATGACTTAAAAACTTTCATTTATTCATTTATATTTAGAATTAAAATAAATATTTAGCTTCTGGCATCTGTTTAAAAACACAATGACAATTCATTACAACTTACGCATGAAGCCCGACCATCATTCGTTCCAAATGTATTTATATTATTATTTTATTATTATTGTCCACCATCTAAAATAAAAACAAAATATTTGTAAAACTAAACTTTCCTTTAAAAAAAATTTTGAGGTCTCAAATTTTCCGAAGTGTTGATGATGAAGATATTCCAATTCATATTTGGAAATTGGAACATGTCACAGCTGGAAATTAAAAGCATTTCTCTCCTTTATGCTAAGTCTTGACTGTAGTCGCCATCTGTAAATGGTAAAATATTCTTTAGTCAAATTAACGATGAGAAACACCGATATGTTATCAGAAACGAAATCATAGTGCATGCGAATATTTCTATTAAGGGAGCTTCCGAATGAAGTTATGTAAATTATGTAATAGTGTTAGTAATTATTTATAGGAGCAATTTTTATTGAAATTTAAAGTGCGTGAAAACTAGTTTTTTTATCAACCAACTTTTATTAGAAAATGTTTTGCATGATTTTAAGCAGTCATGGAGATTTTTTGAAACTGTGAAAAATAGTTAATTTAGAGCTGGGATTTCTTGTGAATGCTCTGAAATTCTTTGCTTGAATATTCCCATATGCACCATACAGAGAGGGCCCAGCATCATTCATTCTGTGCGTGCGAGCTCACGCGAAAGATTTTTTTGTTTATATCCTGCATGGTCAAGAGTTTACGCGCTGGAATAAAGTTCAGAAGCAGGGGGCTCCTCCTGCGCTCCCTAAACTCTCCGCCTATTTGCCCTCTAGGGGAAGATGGTAACCACTCAGGCGGTCTGGCAGGATCCAGGCGCCGCCTTGAAACGGTTGAGCACGAGGTTCCAAAACGCGTTTTGCCAAAATCGCCTCTACTCCTGTGACCGCAAGCGGCACTGCTGGAAGTTCCTGTTCCTTATTTGCATTCATTGAGAATCCATGGAAAAAGATCGGTAAGCAATCCATAAAGCTTCTTCAGGCATCCGAGCATAGAGGCTATAATAGGCACTCTGGAGGAAATGAAGATTCCACCAAAAAAACAATGGTAGGCTAAAGGTCTCGGGGTTGGTAAGGGCATACTCCAGATCAGAACCTCGTTATAAGAACCTTTATTATTGTGATCCAACTCTAATAAGGTGTTGAATATATCAAGTTAGTTACAGAATTACTATAAATCCTTCTAAGAAGTATTTTAACAGAGCTGGATCTATAATAGGATGCATAACAAGATTTTAAAATCGGCGAGCGGGAGTCACGGGCACCCTGTGACCCTGATGAGCGAGGGAAGGCTTAGAAGAGCTGATCAGTTGTGCTCGTGCTGGCCGTAGGTGCACAGACTCACGCGTCTCAGCTGCTGAGTGCTGCTCCTACAAGTCCTATTTTGCATCCAGTGCTGAATGCCGCAGTGCATGTAAGGCCTTCATAGCATCATATCGTCTCTGCACAGCACGTGCAGTGCACACTGTTTCTCACTGTGCTAGAACTGCTTAGAACTTCATTTTTGTGATTTTTTAAAGTGTTGACTGTCACTGATTAAAATGCAGCACAGTTTTAAGGATCGATGAAATGTGTGCCAAGATGATCGTTGATAAATCTTGAAGACTTGGTTCGTTGTTCTGTTTTTCGTGGGAATTATATTCTGTGAGCGGCCTGAGTTATTGACAAAGAAGAACGCCACGTCCACCTTCCTGCATGATAATCGCGAATAATATCAGGTGAGGATAGTAATAGAAGGGTAATAGGGAAATTAATATATTACACCAGTTTTTCATTATGTTGGTAGATATAATTCACGCTAAGAGTATATTATTTATTATAAAGAATAATACTTGAAAATTCACTTGATATCTTGCTCTCAAAATCAGTGAATGCCAAATTGTAATAGTTCACTTTTAAATGTTTAAAATTTTATTTTACTTTATATCTTATATATCGCGTTCCTTGATGAGAAGTTATTGCAGAAGAAAATTGGAGACTACAATTCTTCATAAGTAATTATCCACGAAAGCACATTTTAGCTTCACCTTAATTATGTATAAACTCTTTTAAAAAACAATTATCGAATAATATTATTTTCAAAATAAGTTATACAAAGTAATGTCAAACAAATTCGATCAACTCCCCCAGTGAATATACATTCGTAATCATCTTCGAAGACCAGTCACGTAAGGAGACTGCAACGCATCAGAAGTAGTGATCCTCATTCAAAATTATCCCGTTTGCACTGTTTTTCTCTTTTGCATTGACACACATGACAACAAACTGTAAAATGTGTCTTAAGAAGAGAAAGGAAACCTTGTGAGCTCGCTTCACACTCAGGCTTTCATCTAAACTCGCCTGATATGGAAAGGCACGACACTGCCCGCCGGCACCTTGTCAACCTGAGACTTCTAAGTGGATCAGGATAATGCCTTGCCGTTGCTGTCCAGCTAACCGCGGGGTCACCGAGGAAAAGTTCACTTTCATCGTCTTAGTTTAATAGGATTCATGGTTGACATTAGTCAGTATTTGGTCATGTTTGTGCGACGATCGCAATTCTGGGTATTCCACATGTCCTGAACACACCCCTAATTCGTTTAAAGTCTTAGCAGATTTTCCTGAAAACATATGTAATTTTTGGACTAAATGAGACCTGCTTGTAAATTACCCTAGGATAAAAGACAGAAAGATAAAAGATAGACACAGAAGTAGGACGCAAAATTAAATAATTGAATTTTATGGCGTTTATAGAGAGCACAATTTTCCAAAAATAATTTATCTTAATATTTGTTGATGATCCGGAAGTCGAATTAGAATGCGCAACATTTAACTTTATATGTACGAGAATCACTTTGATTTCTTTCTATCGAACTAATTTTCAACTAAATTCATTTTTCATACGAGGTAACAAGACGTTTCTATATGTTAATTTAAATACCAATTAGAATTTATAGTACCCTAGGTAAAGCACCCTATAAATAACCATAAGAATTGAGGTGCCGCAATTTTTAACTTATCAAAATCCACTCTAAAGAGCATGACGAAAATAACTAAAATTTTGTGTGTAACACAACGGTTTTCTTTTCGCATTGAAACCAATAGCAGCTTTACGTATAAAATCCCGCAAAAAATTGCAGACTAAGAAACAGTTTACCATCACATGGGTTAGCCATACACTACCTCTTCCGAATGAGCAAGGAAGGAACGAAAACATTAGCACAATTAGCCTCCTGGATGAACGGGGTCATAGTTGAAGCGTAGCCGCGGGCGGCAGACGAGCGCAGCTGTTACAGGTATTCTGAGGCAGGCATGTCGCTAGCCAGGCTCGCCAAAGGCAACGGTTTCGACGACCGGCGCCACGAGACTGGGGAAGTACCTCAGCATCAACTAGCAAACGATTTATGTGCGAAGTCGGTTTTTTAGGGGAACGTGGCACCTAATAAGAAAAAGAATAGTCCATTCATTGGAGGCAAATAATTGGAATTTTTAATCGGGAACACGATTAATTGATCTAAAAAGTTAATTTGATTCGTTTTTTATATAAAGCCATTTGAAAGCGTTCAGAAACTTGATCAATGGAATAGATCCATGAACTGGCGAAAATTTTTGAAGCCAAATTTAATAGATCGGACACAATCATGCATGATCACCGCAGAAGTGCCATGTGCCTGGTAGCATTTATAAACTCATTTTAAGGCAATAAAAATTATTTTTAGTAAGCAGGAACCACAAGGAGCTTAAAATAACGAATGCTGATTTACTTCAATTTATGATTAGTTTCTGCTGTTGTCAGAAAAAATAATCGCAAAGGATTTTCCAATATAACTGCAATGCTAATTAGCAGTCACTGACGTTTGTCGAGTTCTGTATGAAAATTCACTAATGAAAAGTCGTCTCGCAATTTCTTACCACACAAACAGTGAAAGGGTCCTACATACATGTTTTTTTTTCACAGACTATCATCATACTGGAGACGAAGTTCATAATTCAACTATCAACATCAGCTTGTTGAGAAACAATTCGATTATTAGGCAGCAGCGTGGCAATTGGCATACTTCCCTTCCTCGGCCTTGCTGGCAAATATGTAACCGTGGCCATAAGGAGTGCAATAAATAAGTCTACCTTAGTGGAAAGGGCGACAGGACGACAGATAAGGAAAGCAGGACATGTAATTACGGTTCCTTCACTCTAACTCGATGCCAGTTTACCTCACTGAGTGGACTCGCCATTAGATGCAGGTAGCTGCTTGTGGTCAGACTTTTTAGGAAGGATTCGGGTCTTGCTCTGGACAATGCGGTGCTCAGAAAAAATAAAAGCATTAACAAATATTTAGTTTATAATGAGAAACTTTGTAGCTAATTCATTTTCATCTTTTTCGTCAGGATGAATCAACTGTGCAAGGTCTGTTCGGAGCCCGCTGCAGGGTTCCACTTCGGTGCCTTCACATGCGAAGGCTGCAAGGTAAATAAAGTTGCACTTGATTTACCGTAATTTAATGTCATAAGACGGTGAACTGATGAACTCCTTTGATGAAATGATCAATGTGTCTCTGAGAATGAATTGACCGTGATAGCCAATTGATTTTTTTATCTTGATTATATTTATGTTAGAAAGAAGAAGCTATTTACTTTTCGAAGTAAGCAATAATATCATCCGTATGAGCACGAATGTCTAAATAAATGATTAACAAATAATTTCTTAATTTCGGCAGTCGTTCTTCGGAAGAACGTACAACAACCTTTCCCAAATACACGAATGCAAGAACGGAGGACAATGCGTAATTAACAAACAAAACAGAACGTCTTGCAAAGCTTGCCGCCTCCGCAAATGTCTCTACGTGGGAATGTCGAAAAGTGGATCAAGGTAAGCATAAATCTGGAAATTTGTTTACGAGGAACAAAGTAAAAGTATTGCAGGTATTCTTTGCAGGTATTGCAGGTATTCTGTATATATTAGAAAATTTTTATGTCACAATTGTTTGTGACTTGTGATGAGAAGTTCCTTAATAATTCGTTGTTGTGCTGTCACGTCCAAATTTTTTTCATCAGATACGGGCGAAGGTCAAATTGGTTCAAAATACACTGCGCTCTGCAAGAACAAGCAGCTAGCATGGGAAGAAGCTTAGACAACGCAAGCAGCCTAAATCTTCAACTGAATGCAGCAAGAGAAAACATAGCAAGATTATCGCCCGGTACATGTGGTGAAGAGGAAGGAAAGCTCGGCTCCCCGGCACTATCTTCCCCCGACAGCAACATATCCGACACAAGCGTCGATGTTGAGCTAAGAAGAAACATCTCTGGCACCGCCGGTCAAACTCCACATTCGCAATTAACGCTTGCGCAACATGAGTCTCTGGTAGCACGGGTACTCGCTAAACGGACGGATTCTGCTTTAGCAAGTGTGGGTGGACGCAGTCTAGAACCTCCTGTCCCAGGGACAGACTTCGTAGCTGGTCTTTCTTTGTACGGTATTCATTCCAGTTTCTCATTATTGCAGGCTTCACAGCTTTACCAACGACTTTACCCGCCTCTGATGTACCCAGGAATTCGCCCAGTTTTAGAACCCATCCACTCTCTGCAGGAACTTCCATCACCGACCCAAATTAAATCCATGCCTATTAAATCTTCTTCCAATCCACCATCACCTGCCAGTTCTCTCCCTCCCCCGTCGACCAAAAGGGAGCAGTTATCTAATCCATCGTCCCCTCAATCTTTACCTGCTCGTCCTTTCTCAGATCGGGCGATACATTCGCCATCCTCTTCATCTTCTTCTCCGTCTCCTCCCCTAATATCAAGGAAGAGAACCGCAGACTCTCCTCCGGAGCAAGATGCACCAATCGACCTGAGTGTCAAACGGCCTCGGTTTGCTTCAAGTACTTCAGTTCCTCTGCCAGATCTCACGCCTATACCCATGCCTTTCAATTTTTTACACCTAGCGATGCCATCCACTTCAACGTCCCCAGCGGTGCCCGTTGATCTCACGTCAAATGCTTAATGGGCAAATTTTTTACAGACCTGACGGTTCTTTCAGAACCACTTTGCATATTGAAAATACTCATCTAATCACTCGACGTTGTTGAACCACTAAAAAAATTTTTAAGAGGTAATAGCTACAGCTGATGTAATAAAATTGAAGGAATACATTCATTCATAGTAGATCAAATAATTATTGAAAATTTCAGGGCTACTTTGGAATTCGCTTTGATTATTTTGGAGCAAATATTAATCTATTAACATATGATTGTAGCAAAATTGTCTAGAGTTTTTTTTGTCGTTTCATTAATTAATGTTCGTAGGGATTCGAAATTTCAGTGATGGCCTTTAAGCTCCTACTAGTCTGAACGTTGTAAAATACCTAAGCTAAATGCATACCATTCACTGATTGCATTGTTTCTATTGTAGATATCAATGAACGACTGGAATATCAGCCAGAATATCATCTTTATTAGTACAAAACTATATACACACCAATTCCTCATACAAGTTAACTCGATTCTATCTTGTCTGAGTGAGCCTGCATTCATCGCATGTAAATGGGATACGAATAGCTAGAGCTATGGCCAGTGTAGGCTGTATTTAGTTCTAAGTTAACTCTTACCAACTCTTCTCAAGTTCTATTGTCTGCGTTTTAAATCAAAACTTCTCTAAAACCAATAGTGAATCTTGAATCAGGGTTTTCATTTAGTTTCAAAATGACAAATTTGTTCTATATTTGTTCCCCGCCACAGTGATCGTTCAATTAGAGATTTCTGTGCTGCTTGCTCTAAGACGCTATGCAAATCGTCTGATAATTGTTAGAAACTAATGTTTGTGAATAATTATTCGAAATCAAAGTTCTTCCTGAGTCTGGTGAATAATGCATAGAGCCGAGTACTTCTTCGTGAGAACGAATATCCTTGGGAGAAATTGCTGATGTCATTCACGTACAGTTTAGAATCGTAGCTGCATCATCGTGTATTTTTTATGTAGTCCTAGGATAAAACTGTAGTCACTGTTGACTGTAAAAAAGTATTATATTCCTTCGGGAAAACGTTACTTATATTTATTTGCATTTATTAGTGCTATTGTTGTGTTGGAATCTTAGGAACGACTTAGTTTTCTATGTAAGCATTTGTATAGCAAAGAAGAGTCATACTAATAAATGTCTGACAAATTTGAACATTTCATTGATGTATGGTCTATTCATGTTTTTGGTGTTATTTACTTCGCTGAAAATTCACTGTACTATGCATCTTTGTTGTTTGATTTTGTTAGAACATTTATGATGGTTTTATTTAAAACTTTCGTACGTTGTTGATATTTTGATATTCTCTAATTTTAATACTCTCTAATGTTGATACTCTATATTGACCCGAAGTGAGTGAAACAATAGGCAACACTAAATGCAAGAGATATCTAAACTTATTCATCAGCGATTGAGCGATAAAAATTTATCTTCCGGATCACTTTTATCAATATCATTACCACAACTTCAAAAGTTTTAAATCGAAATAATGAAAGTTTGCGTCCCTTACGTCCCTGGTAACTTGAAATTTAGTTAAAAAAAAACAAAATATTTACACTAATTTCATTCAAAAAAAGTACATCGCTGTCGACAATATACTGGTAAAAATTTTCCGTATGAGTTTACAATCATGGTTCGATGTGCACGAACAATTCGAGCATCAAAAAAATTTTTGATGCCAAACTTTGTTTGGCATCAAAACTAGTGTAGTTATGAGGTGTACTTGTTATTCGGCATTTTAGGATTGAGGCATTTTTACCTGAACGGGATTAGACCGGCCGAGCAACCATTCAATAAAATTAGTCAGTAAACCTCTAAACAACCCAAGAAACATTTCGCCCCGTAATATCCAAACCAGTGATGCTTTCTTGGCATTTGAGTCTTTTCATGACAAAAAATCTTGCTTATAGTCTATGAATTAATCCAGATAAATGAGATAATAAGAAACCTTAATAAATAGCAAGAATATGAATGGGGAAAATATTATTGGCGCACATAATTGCCTACAAATTCTGCTTAGTAAAGTGGGTCTTATTGAATTATGCATGAGACCCTGCATATATATAATATATATGTATAAAAGAGCCTAAGAATTTGGACCTACAGTTCTTCAAAAATTTAAGCAGGAAATTTGGTGACAAATAAATGTAATGAACTGATGAATGAGTTGTTGAAAATCAACGGTTACAGTGAGATAACCATTCCATTTCAAATTATATCTCGAAACTATAACTAATTCCAAAAATAAAAAGATTCTTCATTAATCAGTCAGCGACGTAAGGACAGAGAATCTCCTATGAAGTAAGCGTTTGTTCTTGGCGTTAGCCAGGCTGTGTAAAAAAAACACACAAGTCTATGAGTTAACAAGCATGCGCACTGCAATCGCTGGGTTCAAGGCATTTACAGGCCCTCGCAATTTAAAGTAAGCATTTGACTCAGTCCACGAGGCTCCCAGCCACTCGACCCGTGACTGAGTTGATCGTTACCTTGAAGTTCCATAGGCAGGGGCAAATCTCTTCCAAGCCTGGCGATGACGTACGCACTGAGACTCTGACTAAAAAAATGGAAGTTACACACGCCCGGTGAGGCGTCACGGAGTCGCAGGACAACTTAAACTGAAAGCGCTAAACAAAAAAAATCTTGATCCGGCGAATGATGATCAACTACAACTACAGTGATTTTGTAGGGTGTTGATACAGAGTCGAGCTTTATTTGTCCAATTCGTATTTAAACTTTTATTTCAATATGGGATTTGTAACCGATTTTTGTATCACAATTATTGATACATCTAGATATTTGTCAAGTTACAATCACATGAAATAAACTAGGATCTCTTTTCAAATATGGGCGTGCAGCTTATGATTTAAAAAATTACGCACTTATTGGCTTGATATATGAATATGGATTATTTTAAAAGTATTTTGCCTTCAGTGAACTGTTATTACGCAAATAGAATGATTTTGTTTATTATATTGTTTGGCGTATCGTTATGATACACTATAAGACAACTGCCAAACCAAGGCTGAACAGTTCTGTAATACTAATGTTTTTTCCCGACAATAAAAAATAAGTAAGAAGCTGCTAATAGTTCGTTTGAACCTGATCAATGGACAGTAACATTTGCTTTTAATTCATTATCACCCAAGACTTCAAATGATCCATTAAACAACTATATATATAGGATTGAAATATATTCTCAATTCGTTGTAGTAAATTACAATGGTTGCTTCATCTTGGTGCATAGCTAATGAGCATACTAACAGATTCTGTGCACAGCTTTAAACTAATAAATCTTCTTGAATAAGATATTACAACATAGCAGCGTTTAAAATGCGGCTGGTCATAGACGCGCCTTTTCTTCAGGAAATGCTCGCTCGAGGCATGAGTAAACTAGAGCAATAACAGTGCCGTAATTTTCCTAGAAACTCTGACCATTGCTCAACAAGGATGAATCTCAGGAGCCATGACTGGAGTGGAAACTCCGGCCGTCAGTCCAGAAGAAAATTCTTCCGGGTAAGAGCTGGGCATGTCATCAAATCAGTAAATTTATATATTGAGTATAAATTCTAGTACCAACCTCATTCTCACTCTACGCTTCATTGCAAAAACATAATTTATGGTTTTGTAGTGGAATTGGCTATTAAAATTTGAATGGTCTGAACGTATATGAAGGAATAATTATATGATTTGTCACGAAGCTGATTCGATAACTTCAAACCAAGAATATGCCAATTATTTTCTACTTTCATTTTTAAATTGGATGGACGAACCGTATGTCAGTAACCTTCTGATGAATAGATTCTAACACTGAATGTTCAAATAGAAGTGAGCTAAGTTCTTCTTTTGAATGTTTTCTCAGAAGGGAAATAACACCTTGCATTTACATAAAGATCCATTTTTCTTAGCTTCATCTGCACGCGTGATCAATCGTTGCTTTTCTAGAGGTGCTGGAGCTGCAATTGCCTAAAGTAACTCCTACCCATTGTTTGCAGAAGAAAGTGTTGCGATCGCATTTATCTATGATCACAAATTCAAAGATTATTCATGAGAGAACAAAAGTGCGTCGAATGGTACTCTAAAATTAACGAGCTGCGTTGAATACGCGCCTGAGTCGAATACTAATTTGTTCGCAGTTACTCGATGGATGAATTTTTTCTCAGACATCTAAGCATTATCAAATAAAAGGACATTATTGGTGCTTATAGTCATTGAAGTCTGTAGAGTAACAAGTTCTGAAACGTGAATGTCGTAGTTTTTGTATCTTAGTCCTAACATTACATTTCAAATAACGTTTGAAATGTTTTCCCGGAATAGTTCGGCTATTTTCCAGAGCACTGTGAAACGGAGCTTAGCTGCATCATTATCTGCAAATAGAAATCTAGGACTGGCCTTATTTCGTGCAGTTATTTCGCAATCAAGTCGCGTACCTCACATTGGGAAAGCAGGTCTTCTGAGAAACAACTACTCGTTTTCAGACTGTCTGTTTGACATCGTGGACGGATCGATCCATACTCATATGATGATGGCAGAGCATATCATGCCATGCAACTGAGATCTGACTCAGGTTTGGAATAAAAAGATGGAAATTTATATTATACCAATAATTATTTAACCAAGTAGACCACTATAAAAATCGCTAAACAAAGGTATTACAAGGAAACATATTGTCGTAAACAATAGAACATCCCCATTCCTCGCCTGTCGTAGTCAAATCCTTGCATTCGGCTTGCAAACGAATCGAGCGGTCACAGATTGTGTCGCATAATTGCCTAAGATTCACACCAAATTAATCGCTCCTCACGACGTCCATCACGACTTTTTCTGTGTTTCCGTGTTGATATGTCGGACAATGTACACCGTGCGCAACACGTGTGCAAAGGATCACGCTTCGCTGCTAAAACATACACAACCGGCATGACGGATCAGCTCCGCAACCGATCGCTCTTCCCAAGTGCACAAAAAATCAGCCCAATATGACCGATGCCTCTTAGACATGTGAACCAGACCATGCACGAAGAGGCAGACACACGTCCTGTATACATGTCCAATTAGAATAATCATTGATTCTTTCTCTCAGTGTTGGGAAAACTTGTTATTCTCGTCGTATGTATATGCATTTTCACCTTATAAA